CCTTTATTGCTGACAGTTAAAGGTACCAAATCCTTCCTCTTTCTTTTTCCTGATTTTCATGTAGAATTTTAGTATGATGAATCTGCTGTCAAATAGTAGCCAGGTTGCACTGCTTCCACAGAGCTGGTCCTTCAGTGATTGTAATACCTTCAATGACCTTTCAGACACCAGGATTTGAAAAGGGTAACAGGGCTGGTGTAAATTCAAATTAGCTTGCAAAAAAATCAGGAATATTTCTCCAATCTGAACTGCTTTCCAGTATTCCCAATTGTGGAAACTGTTCGGTGCTAGAATTTATTTTAATGTGTGAGAAGTCATGTGTGATTTTCTTTAAAAAAATAGCAAGCATTAAGCTTAACACTTTAAATCTTTCTTGAAAGAGACTTCCCAAAGAGGCATTTGAAGGGGATAAAGTCAACCCTGGAATATTGCTGAATCAGCTCTATTTTGGCATGCCCTTGCCAGTCTAACCCATCCCCTGTATATTGGAGACTATAACTCCCATCATTCTCAGCAGGTATATGTAATGTTTATGGATTCTATCAAAATATATTCCCACAGGAGAGCTCTTCAACAACTTTGCAAAGTCTCTCAAACAATCCTATGTCACATCTGTTGTTAGGAGAGGGAAAATATTTCAGCAGTAGAGTACATGGTTCAAACGGTTCCAGCTTCCATCTTCACTCAAAGGGTCTCAGGGCTAGTAGAAATGTTTGCTCAAGAGCTTGAAGAGCTACTGCCAGTCAGAGTAGATAACACTGAAGTAGATTGGCCAAAGGCCTAACTCAGTGCTTGGGTTCACACAACATAACAAGCAACCCTGCATGGTCACTATGGTTTGGGGGGTGGTTACCATGATCTACCCAGTGGATGATCTAATGGTTTCTATAGTATCATGGTTTACACACACAGACATACACACTCAGTCCTTTCACTGCTAGCAGATAGCAACCACCAGGACTATAATTTAACTCCAAGCTGCATTGCTTCTTGCCTACACCACCTCCCTCTTTCTCATTGCTCTGCATGTCAGTTGCCAGGCAGAGAAAGTTAGTAGAAGCTGGATGGCTGAAAAGGCTGCTAGAGTGGCCCTTTTTTCCAAGGCTTCTGTTGTATGTATACTAGCACCATGGAAACTATGGGCCTGAGTCTGGGCAGCACAACTCTCCATAGTGGTACAGAGAAGCCATAGAACAAATTGCAGTCTGTTATCATGTTTTTAAAGACCAACTATACCATGGTGAAATAACACAGCTGGGATCTAAGAACAAAGCATACCAACAATGGTAAAAAAACAAACAAACGCCATGGCTTGTTGTATTGCCTGAACTCAGCCAGTGTGAGGCAGCCCTGCCTGGTTCCATATCCTTTTGCTATGCAACCATAGTGATGAAAAGGTTTGAGTCAGGAAGAACAGTCATGGCCTACCTCTCTCCATCCTAAAACCAGTGATGTGTTAAAGCAGGCGTGGAGAACATCAGGGGTATGGGCCAATTCCATCCACATCCCCTTCTGCTACCCCCCCTTTTTTTTCTGGCCTATTGGCCACACTGTCAATGGGTTGGATCTCTGGTGTGTGAGAGAGTTCATCCCCATCCTGGGTCACCAGTTATCATTGATCGAGTACTTCATTTTAGAGATAAAACAGACCCTACAATTTGTGGGTATAAAGCAAGCATGTTAAACCCCTTTCATTATCTCAGAGACCCTCTTAGGGGTCACATTTCAGCCATAAGCAGTGCAGAAGGCAAAAGGGGAAGGGTCAAAAATGCCAACATATTGTAGCTGAAGGCTCCTACTACCAATAACTGAGCCTTAGGAGAAGCATTTTGCCTTTTGGGATCAGGGAAAATGACACAAAAGACAGGAGACCACCAAAAGATCCATGGTTGGAGGAAAGAGGTAGGGCCAGGAGAAGAGGACATGACATTCTGGGGAACTCCAGAGAGCTGAACTGGGACCCAAGGTGGGCCAACTGTGTGTACCACTGAGAGAAGAGCAGTGACTTTTATTGCTGCCTTATGGAAATACTTTTGTATTTGTGTAGGTTTGACTTTGGATGGGTCTAAAGTTGCTTAGAAGCCACCATAAGCTCAAGGATAGGTAAACTCACTAGCAGAAGAAATGTTTTAAATCAGTGGATGTTTCTACTGATGTGAATAACCTTGTGACCTGTGTAGTCTCTGCTGCATTGCATTTAACTAGCCTGAAACATATGTGGATTCTGGAACAATTTGAAACACTGGAGGGGAGGGGCAGGGAACCATAAACGCTTTTGGACAGCAGACATGTTTAGAAAAAGGTTGGCTTCTTGTATACTTGATTATACTATATACGTTGTGGAAAATCTGGGAATGCAAAAATAGAACATTTTATGAGCATTTCTGCATGAGACTTTCTTCCGGAGACCAGATGTCTTCGTCCAGTGATTGTGTGAACTCATCATGCAGGAGACCCCATCCTCTTTCCTTCTGCTTTGTCAGAAGAGGTTGCTGCTGGTAACTTCAGCTTCTGTTCAATTTCTGTAGGGCTGTCAATGATGAAACCAAGTGGAACAAGGTATTGCATCCTGTAGGCTGACTTGCCCCCAACTGACTTTGCAGTTTGCAGGGTGGACCAATCTCCTAAAAGCCCAAATCCAATCTATGCGATCAGTCTGAGAAATTTGATTTCACTTAGAAGGTTCTGCTGGAACTTAGCTAAGAACTGTTTTTACCCCTGCTTCCCTGAGGGTTTTGTGTGGGGATGTGACCATCCCACATGGCCTTAAACATCACTAGTTTGCTATGACCATGTACCAAACCATGTACAAATGATACCAGAGAAATCTGTAACAGATTCAAATGAGTTCAGATTTCCATGAAACTGACCTGCTGATTCTGCAGGCTTTTTCTGAGTTGTACAGATTCCACAGACTGCTTTTCAACCTTTGAGAGGGTTGTGGACAAATTTACAGTTGTACCAATTGCCCTAATGCACATGAAATCCTCGTATATCTGTAAAAAACCAATCTGATTCCATCCACAAGGAGATGATGGGATAAGAGACACCTCGGAATCTGTGAAACACCAATAGAATAGATTTCACAAAATACATATGTTGCTAATAGCAACCCTATTGTTTGCTTGTTTGTGAGTGTAATGTCAGGACTGGAGCTCATGGACAATCCTGTTTGTTTGTTTGTTTGAGTTTTATCTCATGCTTTCTCTAAAGAACGAAGGGTTCTTCTCTCTTCTGCTTCCTATTTTATTCTTGCAGGAAGCCTTAGGCTGACAAATAGTGATTGGTCCAAGTTTCATGGCTAAGTGGGCATTTGAAGTCAAGTCTCTCAAGTCCTTGTCTGGCACGCTAACCCTTAAACACCATATAAGCTGTTGGGGTGGGGGAGGTAATTCAAAACACGGACATCAAACACACAAACACAAACTTCATTGCTAGACAGCAGCATAAATACAAATGAAGGACGGGGAAACAAAGCAATCTTTGAGGAAAGAAACAGGATCCAGATTTTGTTATAGAAAAGGAATGTCAGCACCTATGAGTATCTCTGGATACCCATTTGCGTGTTCTTCTCCTGTACTGAATATATTTGGCTTGTCCTTTCCATTTTTGAGACAAGGTTGTTGGGGGTGGAAAGGGAGTTCAACCAAAGCTTTTCATGCCGTGAGATCCTCCCTGAAAGGAGGAAGGCAATTGATATTTTAAACTGAGGGAGGAAAAAGATCTTTAGAGAATCCTCCTGTATGATTTATTAGTCCCCTTGGACTTTTATATGTGTCTTGAATTGGACTTTTCACTAGGAATTTCTCTCACTGACTTGGAGGTGGTTGGGCAGGAGGGAAGGAGGGCTCCCTAACAAGACATTAAATTAAACTCCAGTAGTAAAGTTATGTTGATGGAAGGGTTTCTTAACTCCCCTCACCCTTTTTTTAGATCTGTGGGGAAAAAAGAGAAAGAATTACATTATGAGTCGGATACATTATTTATGACAGTAGACTGATTCAAGGCCTTTAAAAAAAGCCCCCACCCCTTTTTTTAAGATATGGAGGGGAGAGAGGTGGGAGGGGAGAAAAAATCTGAGCCTTTGACTGCGAAATTTATGGCTCTCTCCCTTTCTCAAACTGGTCCCTCTGCAAATCTTTGAGTAGATGTTTTTTGCATGTGTTTGGTGACAGCAGGAGGAAGGGAAGTGGGCTGTGATTTGCTTGTTCTCTCATTGTCAGCTACTCTAGAGGGAGATTGTTGGGTTAAAAAAGACGGGGAGGGGGGAGGAGAGAAACTGCGGATTCCTGTGTCATCTCTCGCTCTCTCCCCATGTGTACAGGAACACTCAGTGTTACTGCGCCTCTCCGTCCCTTTTTTCATTCCTCCTGTCTGCAATTGAAGCCGGAGGGGAGCAGGGGAACGGGATTGGCTTATGCCACAAGGCGATCACAGAGTGGAGCTCAGATTTTAAAAAGAGGTTGGCCCCGGGAAACCTCCACAAGCCTAGAAGCTGCAGCTGTAGTCAATTCCTCTGGTCAATTTCTTTTCGCCACTCACCGTTGGTGCCTTTTTCTCTAGCCAGTGCCGGCTGGTTCCGTCTTTCGCTCGCTCGCTCGCTCGCTCCACCGCTGTGGGGGCGCGCGCCTGTGGCTCCGTGCAGAAAGGCAGAGCGCTGGAAGTTTTTCATCATCATCATCATTATTGTTATTGCTGTCCCCCTCTCCCCGCTTTCTGCTCCAGGGAAAGAATCAGAAAAGGGGAAGCAGAAAAGGAGATGTTGCAAACCTGGCCAGAAGAACGGTGGTTGTTTTAAATGCTTCTGCAGTTTTTTTGTTCTGGGGGGGATTTTTTGAATGAAACTGACCGGGGTCACCTGTTAACTCTCAGTTTTTTAGATCATTTTGAACTTCTCGCTGGATTCACACACACCCCTTCCTTAACACACAGGACAAGAAGGGAGCGCCGGGGAGGGACCTCGCCGGGTATCCAAAGGGGACTGTACAGTCTTCTGCAGCATGGGCTGGATCAGCCGGATTGCTTGGCTTTGCTTGGGAGTATTACTACTAGGAGGACGCGCACGCAGCCAGCATGTCAAGACCAACGTGCCGCGGCTAAAATTATCCTATAAAGGTAAGCCTGCCTTTTCCTCTACCGAGTGTTTCCCTCTCGCTGGCGGCTCGCCCCCGTGATCTTTCCCCAGGATTCCGCCGCGGACCGAGGGATTTCATATTGATTTGTCCCGACACAACCTGATGGAATCACTTGAATCCTGGTCTCTCCCGAGAGAAATCTTGCACCGCTGCCCAGTTTCCATGTAGACAAAGGAGGAGTTAGTCTGGAGCGCTGCGCTCTTTTCTCCCCGCACCCCCGCCATCACCAGGGAATAGTTGATCGAATCGCTTCTGATTCCATCGGACTGCGAACGGGAAGCAAAGCAAAGGCGAGACCCACCCTCTCTCTCGGTCTCTGTCTCTCTGGCCCCCATTCGCTCCCCCTCTGCCCGTCGGCATTGTCAGGCGAGGGATCTGTTGGCAATGCTGGAAGACTGCCCCTACTTCGCTTGGGATGGTCTGTCGCGATGTCTTGCTTTGGATGGCATGAAGGAGTTAATTCTGAAGTATGCCCAGCCAAACGCGCAAGGCTGGCAGTCCGGTGCCCAACGAGCAGTTACAGCGTGGGCAGAGGGTGTGCCAAAGCGTAGGTCCTGCATCCAGATGATCGGCCGTGCGCGGAGGGCAGGAAGGGAGACCTCGTGCATGGATGAGCTGCTTCTCTTGCGCTGCCCGGGATCACCTCGATCGCACGGCTGTCGCCCGGGTCTCGCGGCACAGCCGCCGTTGCTCGGCACCCCGCTCCGGAGACGGAAGGCGCAGGTTCCCCGGAGCACGGTTTGGGCAGGCGGCGCGCCTGCAGCGCCGTGCCGCTTCTTAGCCAAGTTCGGCGCAGCGCTGCGGCGCTTCCGAGTTGCTGCGAGCGGGCAACACCCGCCCCTCGCTCCCGCCAAGACTTTGAGGACGCGGCGCCCGGGCCGGCCGCGCAAGGTGCCTGCAGCGCGTGGAAAGGCGGGGCTGCTCCCACCGGAGGAGAGAAGGAAGGGCCTTCGCTTCAAAGCCAGGGTTTCAGTGGCTGGGAACAGGGACCAAGACCCGGGCTTCAGCACCTTCCCATGCAGAAAGGACCGGGCACGTGTCTGCAGTTACAGATGTCACTCAGCAGTGCGCTGTAGCTTCCATGTAGCCTGAAGGGCCTGGTCACGCCTCATCTTGGAAGCTAAGCAGGGTCAGGCCTTGTTGGAATCTGGATGGGGGACTTCAATGTTGTGAGCCACCCGGAGAGCTTCGGCTATGGGTGGTATAGAAATATAATTAATGATAATAATAATATTGATAATAATAATATAATGTCTGTGGAGATTATGCCAGGGGAGAGTAAGTGCTTATGTGTGTGTGTCCTAGGGAAATAGCTCGATTTCCCACTCTTTTAATAACAGGAAAGATCAATTTTGCATGCTTTTGTTGTTGCTTGTTCGTTAAACAACCTGCTAAGGACCTCTTCCTATGTTGCAGTGCTGAACTGCTTACATATTAGTTCCACTGGAGTTGCCCAGACAACTCTAGAGTAAAGGGGTGCACATGTTGGATCACAAGCTAAGCGATGGCAGGAAGATGTCATTGACACCCCTTGGCTCAGCTGATGAAACACCCATTAAAAAAAAAAAAAAGCAAAAGCAAAACTAGCATGTGTGATTGTGAAATCATTGTATATACTCAGTCTAAAACAGGCAGCTGGGTGTGTGTGTTTGTGAGAGAGAGAGAAATAACACCCTGGAGTTCTGAGAATATGCTAATTAACTTGCCATAAAGAGACTGCTTTAAAAAAATAATAAAAATGCACGCAAGTTACCTTTTCCTTTCTAAGATGAGCTGCCACTGTACAATGCAACTCCTAAGTGCCCCTAAATAGATATTTAATTGCATATGATCTAATTAGCTTTAATGCTCCTGTTGAAATGCAATTACATGTACAGTTAGGAGATTAAAGTTGCAGACTTAATGTGATCTGTTAAGAAGAACAAAGGCTCATTAGAAGCAATGTACTATTTTTAACTCTTTTAGGCTGCAGTCCTATACACACTCACCTAGAAGTACTTCTTCATTCTGCATGGTTGGCTCAGAGTAGACCTGTCTTGGACTGCTGTGCTAAAGTTTAGTGCTGATTCTAATTCTGCCAGCAATCCACACAAGCAATGCTTATGTGTGTATGTCACATGACTCATGATTATTTAATCTGCAGAGCATCAGGTGAGGAATGAAAGAGGTGCCGTTGTATTGTACATCAGATAGTTCTTTTGATGAAGATGATACCTATATGGTGGCTGCCTGCTACCATTATAATTTCACAGCTGTCAGCTTAGACATCCGGTTGGACAGAGGAAGATGTGTGGCATAATCCTACTTGCATTTACCATGAAATAAGGCCCAGTGGATCCAATGTGGTTGCAGACTTAATGATCTTCCTAGTTTTGGTTACTTTCATGTGGCACAATCTTATTTTTCTGAGCTGCTAAGCGACACAGCTCACTGTGTCCTTCTATATTATTCTCCCAACAACAGCCCTATGAGGTAGATGATTCATCCCTGTGGAGGTAGAGACGGAATTTAAAGCCTATCTCCCTCTGATACAAGTCCAACATTATCCACAGGCTGGCTCTAAACTTGGCATGACCAAAGTGTTTAAACACAGGACTGCATTTAAGCAAGAGAGCATCTAAGCTTTGAACACTTCATGTGCTGTGTAAAGAATGCTAAGGATTATTATCCAAGCTACTTGCATCCCTCTGTGTGACTTTTGATTAGCTATGTTATTTGAGGATCAGGCTGGTAATCAGAGTGAGAGATTTGCTCTTTCTAGCAGTGGCTGCATTGTCATAAAAAGCTAGTTACTGCAGGGACATGGGAGAATAAAGCGCATGAGCTAATAAAACTTTGGATAATTAATTGTCCTTCTAATGCCTCATGCTGCGAATCGTTCCTCAGTGAAATGAGCACAGCAGTTGATTTAAGTGCTCTCTGTCTATTAATGGAGTGATGTTGTTGAGCTGCAGATTAATATGCTGCAAACACCATGGTGGTTTCTTTCTTTCTTTCTTTCTTTCTTTCTTTCTTTCTTTCTTTCTTTTGTGGGACAGCACCACAAGGCATTTTCATGCCACTGGGATCCATTCTGGGATATGTGTGTTTGTAAGTGCTATTCATAATGTGGAAACATTGCCCTTTGGCTATTTGGCTGATTTCTTCCAGGGAAAGAACTCAGTTTAATAAACCAAACTGTGAAATGAAGGTGGGGTGGCAAGGCCGTGCTGAGCCCCTTTCCTTCTCTTATTGGACCGTCTGTCATTGTCTTTTTGTTTTTACAGGTGAACAGTGAGGTGGTTTCTTGGCCAATGCTCTTTGGTCAATGATCAGGGTGATGCTGCAACAAATAATTAAGGATTTCTTTCTAACTAGCTTGGGATGTGTGTTTTCTCGATTAATTATTAGATGTCAAGCATGGTTAAAGTGGGAAAGAGACTCTCCATAAAACATTTAGGAGAATGATTCATGGAAGGTTAAATCCATGGTTGCTTGTTTTCAAAGCCTTGCCATTAGCTCTGTCATTTCTCAGGTTCTCCAACAGAAGTTTCAGTGACCTCACTTTTTCTCAAGTCCTCTTACTGTGCTGTCACTCAGCCCTATACCAGGTTAGAACCCTCATACATTTTTTAAGTGAAGGGATGTAAAAAGAGTATAACTTGATGATTAGAGGAAAGGGCTATTTACTAGAGGTATCCTGACCTTGCGATGGTCAGGATTCAAAAAGGCATGTAGCTAGTTCTACCAGGAAAATTCTAATATTTGCTTGTCTGATCTCTAGTAGCAGCCTCCATAGCAAGGTACCTTTGAAATTTAGGGCCAGAACAGATATTAATTTAACTCTGCTTAAAGCTGCTATATCTTATGTTCATTTTTACTCTAGAGCCCTTGTTTGGCTCAAGCCAGTGAGGGAATCGGAGCTTTTAAGATCAGCACGCTCTGCCTACTCTAGTGTATTGTAGTAGTGAGATGTTGTTGCTAACTACAGCTTCAAAGTAATGACTGTCTTGGCACTTAGAGTTGTACTGAGCTATTATTTCATGTCTGACTTGTTCCCTCAATGTTTAGTGGGAGGGTTTTTTTGGGGGGGGGGTTGTTTTTTTTTTTTTTTTGCAACTCAAAACAGCAGATCTAAGGAAGCAAGGTTTCTGGCATCTTCTTACATGCCTTTGCTTCTTGTTCTCCCTACCCCACAGAACATTTGGATTCCATGACCCTCCCCACCTCTCCCTTTGCATGAAAAGTTTCCCAGATTCATCTGCCTGAACCCATTTGTTTACTGAATATTTCTCAATTCTCTTAAGTCTGTCTGGGAAGAGTAAATGTGTGGTTCTTTTTGTTGTTGTTATTGTTACACAATTGAATGCACATTACTCTGAGATAATTAACTGCAAAATGATTGTATACAGATTTGTTTCTTCTTTCCACTGTCTCTCATTCAAGCTGTATTATGAAGAACTCTGGCTGATAATTGCCAACAAATGATTAAAATATGAGAAGCTGCAGCAAAGTCAAATCACAGGAAACTAACAAGATTAAATCTCTCTCTATATATACGTGTGTGTGTGTGTGTGTTTCAGTTGCAAAGTTGTGCCCGACCCTTCATGACCTCATGGACCACAGCACACTGTCCTCCACCATCGCCCAGAGTCCAGTGAACCCCATGCCCACTGCACCAGTGACTTCATCCAGCCACCTCATCCTCTGTGGTCCCCTACTCCTTTTGCCTTAAATTGTTCCTGGCATCAGGGTCTTTTCCAATGAGTCCTTTCTTTTCATTAGGTGGCCAAAGTATTTGAGCTTCAGCTTCAGTATCTGTCATTCTAAAGAACAGTCAGGGTTGACTTCCTTTAGGATTGACTAGTTTGATCTCTTTGCAGTCCAAGGAACTCTTAGGAGTCTTCTCCAAAACCACAATTCAAAAGCGTCATTTCTTCAGCGCTCAGCCTTCCATACACACACACACACACACACACAAACAATTGGTTAAACAGCACA